CTCTTTGAGGATTTCTCCCTTCTATAAGGGGATGTACTAAGTTGATGCACATGAAATGTTGGATTTTCTTTACATATAAACGTTTATCACCCTGTTTTCTTAATGCTTTTGCTTTTGGAATAGCCTTGTTTACAGTCGTATTGTCCATTGTCCGAATCGCGTTTCAACAAAGATTTTTTTTCAAACGGGGTGTTCCCTTTTGTTATTCGTGTTGCATTTCGTATGGATATGAATTCAGCTGATATTAGGATTATTTTTATATGGATATATAAACTTTGTAATAATGCTGCGAAAACTATACAAAATATAAATCAGGCATTTGGAAATAATACCGTTAAAGATCGAAAAGTGCAACGTTGATTTGAAAAACTTCGGTCCCTACAAAATGAAGCACGTTGAGTGAGAGAGTAAATATTAACGTCGTATTGTTCAGCTGCACGAGGGCTTTTGGCGACAGACCACGTAATTTTGAACCATGGTCAAGTGACGTGTACGACAACTGAGCTGGCACCCCCTCTCCTAACTACCACTTCACACCCACGGGAGAACGTCTCATCTCTCGACAGATTTAACGTGCATCGCTGCCCTACACGGCGGGTCTTTAGTGGTACTGGGCTCGAACTCGTGACAAAGCCAGCCATGATCCGATACCTATACCACTCGGCTACCGCGGCCACGAACCATGTGGAAGACCCAAAACATTTGTGAAAAATATTGCTCAGAAAGCATTGGTGGAAACGACACACACTTCTCCTGTATCTATTACTTTACCATATATTAATAAAATGGATAAAAAATAGAAAATTTTACATCCATCACTTGTTAAACGGTATGGTCTTTCTTCACGGCAATGCCACATACACAGTACAAAACAATTGTGAAATTAAATGAATTAAAATGTGAAATTTTGTAGTACTAAGCTTATTCACCGGATCTATCACCAACGGACTTTCATTTTTTTAAAAACCGTTTAGAACAGTTTTACGGGCTAAACAGTGTAAAAATAAAGACTGCATAAAAAATTCCATGTAAAAAAATTATTGATTCTAAAATCAGAATTTCTTTAAGGTATCCGACTACGTTCGGAACCGTGATTTTGCAGAAGCTTATAAAAGGATAATATTTACGATATTTAGTGTCACTTAGATTAGAAAATGTATATAAAAATGTTTTAAGATTAAATAGTATCACAATAAAAATTATTTAAGTACAATATATTGACAAAAAATGAACATAGAATGACCCCTTTTCAAAATATTCTCCATTTGTGAAAAATGCTTCTATTATAATAATATTTTGCCTGTATATAGCTCACACCTCTGTACAGAGGCTCAATTAGAATTTTTGAAAAATATAACTTAGAAGTGGGTTTATCCATGTTTTACGACAACAGAGGGCAAGAAGAAAGAAAAGAAGAAAAAAAGGAAAAAACGCCGATAGTTATTTTAATTGGTTGCAACTCTGAAAATAATGTCTCTGTATTGAGGTCTGAGCTATATACAGGCAAAATATTATTATAACAGAAGCATTTTTCCCAAAAGGAGAACATTTTGAAAGGTTGTTTTTCTAAGTTAATTTGTTGCCAAAATTTTGTATTTAAATAATTTTTTTTTACTCAAAATTTCCTTAAAACATTTTTATATATGTATTCTAATCTATGTGACACTAAATATCATGAAAAGTATCCATTTATGCTCTTTCTTAAAATCACGGTTCCGACCGTAGTTGGATCCCTTAAAACAGATATTTATCAATTAAAAAGTCTCGTTGGAAAAAAGTGTATTGAAGCAAATGGAGCATATTTTGATGAAATAAACAGCTTTTAAAAAAGTTATGCTTTGTTAAAAAAGTCACATTTCACGATTTTCTTCGTAAAATAACCTCTCTATAGCGAAATGCATTTTTCTATATCTAACGAACTTTTTCTTTTGTGATTCAATTTTCCCCCACTATTTTTAAAGCATTTTTCTGAACGTTTCAAGTTATTCTTTTTTTAACACATTTTATGGTGGTCATAAATCTTAAATGGACTTTATTGGATCATAACTGCCAAGAGCTATAGAGTTCTGGACGTTTCATCCAAGAAGTGCAACCTTTAATACCCATTGTCAAGTTTATTAGAAACATCTTCGATATCGCCTTTCATACTCAGTGGAGTTGTCACGCGTCCCCATGTTCTAGTTATAAAATAATGTATGTTGAATATTTCTTGTATGCTTTAAATTAGAAAATGTCCGTAAAATTCATTAATTTTAATATAAAATTATCTTTTTTAATACTGAAAATACAGTGTATTCTTCGACATTCTTTTTTCTTGTTTTCCTTGCGGTTTTTCTTTCTATCTTTTTTTTTTGATGGATAAGATATATAAAAAACATTATTAATTTTTAAAAAGGTGTGGATAATTACTTTTTTTAATGTATAGTGTTTATGAATTTTTAAAATTTCTTTTTTATGTGGTTTATAAAGTATATTAAAAGAAGAACCTCTATATAACGAATTTTCCGTTACTTAGAGGTCCGACTATATATATAAGTGCATCTAATACAGCGTAAATTATCGGGATCAAATGAATTGGTCATTTTATTTCGAAGATGGGTTAAGTACAGGTAGTTTCTGGAGCTACTGTGGCACGGCCATATTGGGAGTGAGTTGATACCAGTAAAAAATCTACACGAAAGACAACTGCCATAAGCAACAGTCATGACGAATGAAACTACCGTTGGATAGTTCTCAATTATAACAGTGGATAGATGGGCCACGCTACTTAAAAAATTACTCCACCATGTAGGTTTTCAGAACTTAGTTCTTTAACAATGAGATTCGCACTATGCCATCGCTTCCAAATAGTATTCTAAAGGCTCGTCAAATACTCTGAAGATGTGACTTTTCTTCCGTGGTCATTTAGTCGAGCTCCTTTGACCAGAAGACGCATCCAGATTGAGTGAGTGTAGGGTTTTATGACGCAAGAGCCAGTTTTGGCTATACTGCGCCAAACATTTGTTAAGAAACTTAAAATGAGAGGAAAATATAAGAGGCAAAAAAGGAAACGCAATCAAAATGTAAACCACAATGTTAATAATAAATTAGAAATTTTCCAATAAGGAAAAAATTCATCAATAATAGTATACATGTAAATTTTAAAATATTTGTCTGTGGTCTAGACGGGAAAAGAAATAAAGAACGAAGTGTATGACAAGAAGGACGGTCAAAAATAGAGAAAGATCACTAGGATACCCCGAGTTCGTGACACCCGTGTTTACCAAAGAGAGTAAACCCCTTGGAAAAAAGGAAAAGATCACTAGGGCATCTCGAGATTGTGACATCCGTACTCACCTAAAGAAGGCGAACCCCCTGAGGGGAAGATGCATCCAGAAGATCAAATCCTACACATCCAGGACGCTAACATGGAAATGTTCGATTCTGTGATCCTACTCTATCGAATTGTCGAGAACAGTGGGAGTGTATTTAGAGGTCATGTAGGAAGAAAATGAATTATGAAGTTAGAAAATTTGATTTAAGAAAATGAATAATGAGAGAGAGAGAGAGAACAAATACAACAAAAGAAACCCACCGATTACGATAATCAATTAAAATTTACTTACTTAGTGACGCAATTTTTAAAAATATGTATGTTGGACGGTGTCTAGGGGTAAAGGTGAATTTTTGAACGAAAAAGAAAACATTGCAACCAAGTTAAACAAACAATTAATTTATTAAGATAAAGGAAATTAAGGATCACGCTATTTATAACGTTTAATTATTTACAAAAGAAGATAAAATACAGTTTGAATAGAAAACAGGGTTTACCTGTGAGATGGGAATGCCAAATATGGTTAAGCCTGAAAAGGGTCTGCTTTGTTTTTGAAAACGAAGCAGCTAAAAGGGCGTCGAACCTTACTCGTTCGTGGTTGGCATCTGACGTCATCGTCCCGTATGGCATTTGACGTCATCGCGCACAAATTCTTTCGTTGGATAGTGAAATCTCTCTAGATTTGATTTGGTTTGGTTGGCATCGCCCTCTCTTACAACCAAAATGTAATGATAATTTAAAACATTTTAAATAATTATTTGAAACTAATTTAATACTATTTCCGACATATATTTGTTTATTTTTATTTGCATGTATTGTTTACATGCATAAGCCAGTGGCTGAGTGGTTAGTGCATCGCGCTAACACGCCACAGATCCGAGGTTTGAACACCCGGCTGGGAAAGGATGACTTAGCCTTTCATCTCTTCAGTAGATTGATAAATGAGTACCAAGCTTGCTTGGGAACTTAACGCTGTGAGTCTCGCGTCAGACTGATCTCCTGACCGCAACATCTGCTCCTGCACCTCAATGCCCAAGGTAGCGCATACTGAGTTGAGCAAAGAAGGCATTGGCCCTTATGGGCTGTTGTGTAACTGAGTTAAGTTAAGTTTACATGTATTGCTTGTAACTTAGTTGTGATTTGAAAGTAAAGCTATTTGTTTGCATTTTTGCTGAATCAACCCATTTATACTAACGTTATCGTAGGTCATAGTCGTGAAGTCGTGGCCGGTGTTGTTTCAATCGAGTTGTGGGTTCGATTTCTGGTGTCACTTAAAACCCCCCGTGTAGAGTGGTTGATGCATGTTAAATATATCAAGGTTCAAGCCCCCCCCCAAGTTGACGTGATGGAAAGTTTGAAAAGAGTAGAGTTCTGACACAGATGTGTCGTTCTCGTTATTTGACTATGGTTCGAAATTACGAGGTCCCTCGTCACTAGCCCTTGTGTAGTTTAGAAGTGGGACCTTTATAAATAATTAATTGTTGTTTTTGTAGTGTGTTTTTATCTTGGGATAGGTATGAAATACAAGTGGAAGAACAGAAAGATACAATACAAACAGAAGGATATAGATAAGTATTACAAATGATGATCCCAGCATATAACAGAAAAGGTGCGCTGCTTTCCATTCGAGACGGGAATCCGTCACAGGCGAAAGTCCGACTTTTTTCCCCCAAAGAAGATACAACCATGCCTTACTCGGGATTTGAGCCCGAGCCCACTCGGCTACAAGCCGAGAGTCATATCCACCATACTGGTTGGGCGGCAATAAATAATTAATTCAATCCATTATATTAATATTTATTGGGATGTTCTGATTTTCAGAGCTGACAATGAATTGTAGTTACAAATGTGTATATTTTTTCATTTTATGATAATCACAATTTTTTTTTTACAGAACTTGATTTATTTCTGATACATATGCTAAATTACTTACGAATATTCTTTTTTGCCTAGTTCATATTCGAGTAATACCACTCAATGAAGATGCGTTACCATCAGATAGGCCAATCAAGCTTCAAATTAAAGTATGTTACAACGCTATGTTTTGATTGGGATGTATGAAAATATTGTTGTGAATGTATTTAATTAAATTTGTTTTGCTTAAGTATTAAATTTAAAAAGCGTCGTTTAATTGTTTGAGTGATTATACGACCCTTTGTTATGTCATTTCATTTCTATAGGTATTAAATTTTTTTCTCGTACTTTGTTTAATAGATAAGTCATGTATTGGAAACATGCATTTTAATTTTTTGTCTTTGGTTACTTTAAAAATGTACAATTATATTTGGTTAAGCCCATACTGACCTCATTTTCTACTTGTAATATACTTCAGTGAAATGAAGCGGCATGCATTCAGAAGTTGTGATGAATAGGAAAAGTTTCACTCAATATGAAAATTTGCATCAGAAACTAAAATTAGCTATCAGAATGACTTTCTTAAAGATGATAAATTCTGACTTTTATGTTTGCACATAATTAAACATGGGCGATGGGAAAAGAATTTTCGATTAGATCCATTTAAATGTACCCGTTAGAAAAAATTCTTTTGCGCCAAAATGGCGATAAATTCAACAAAATGATAGTCATATTTTTATGTTTCCTACATATAAAGTTCTTCTTAATCCCTGAGGAAAGGAGAAAATTTTCAACTAATTTTTTTCAAAATTTCTAAAGTAATCTGTTTGCTGTAAAAATGAAGTATGTACACCTGAAGAAGTTATTTTTTATTGTTTAATAAACCTTTGAAGGTAGCTCAGTAATTAAATTTAATATTGCACTCTGAAAGAGAGAAGTTGCGAAATTAAACATAAAAGCAGGCATCATGATAAAGAGAAATCCGAAACCAATTTGTATAAAACTTTCTAATTGTAGACTAGATGTCATCCTCTTAAGTCTCTTCAACACTACAAGAGGGCGTTCTGATGTTTAGTGCTTTTAACAAGCTTCACAACTTCAAATAATTCATGATTTTATCATCTCATTAAGTTCTTTCTTTCTCTTTATAAATTAAATTCCTACAGAAAGGTAGAAAGTTGAAACAAGAGGAGGATAAATGTTTATTATAACGGGTGAGCATAAATATCTCTTCGAAAAAAGCTCTTAAGACTATGTCAGATTTTAAAGAAGAAATAGAGTTAAATGTATGGTTCAATCACATGATAAAAGTCACTTTAGTCAAATACAGTTAAAAACGTGTGAACGGAATATCTTTTCCTGTTAAAAATTCATGTAATTTTTTCTTTCAGAATCCCAATGGCACAACGGTGGAAGAAACTCATTTCACTAAAGGCAAAACCTCGAAGTTTCAAACCGCGTTTGCTCGTCATATGTACAAGTTCCCGAATTTTCCAATTATGGGGGAATGGACAGCGACTGTACATTATGGATATAAGGTTATATTTCCATCGATTAATAGTTTTGGATAACATTAACATTCAAGCAATAGTAAATACTACACACTGGCCTCTAAAAGTTAATGTTTACCAAAGCTCACCATAAGAAAAAAGGCACTAACAGTAAAATTAACAGTAAATATGAATGACAAAAACTAACTTGAAGAAAACTAAAGCAAAAATGACAGCTTCCACTTTAATTTTTATTGAAAATAATAGCTATTTTTTTTGACTGAGAGGAAAATATGTGAATATTAAGTTTTCGCGTAATTTCGTTTTTAAGTTTTGTTGATTTTCAATAGTTGTTGGATTTTTCGTTCACAGCAGTCAGTACAGTCTACTGCTAGATGACTCAATGTGTCTCACAGAGTTGTCCAAGGACTGTGAGATCAGTATCAATCCGAAGATTCTGTGTCCAAAAGACATGTTCCATGCCAACAATGAGCTACAACACCTGCAAAAGTCCGTTTTACATCATTTTCGATTCGAAGGAAAGAATCACTACTGTGCCGTAACTCGTTGAGGACCACCACAAAGTAGTATCAGGGTGAAGAGTCTCCGCCTCTACGAAGCGAAGACGTCTACACAATATAGGTCTCTATGCAAGATGACTAGGTGCGTGTGTGTTCCTTAACGTATGAAAGAGAAGAGCCTGCTTATTTTGGTCTAGAGGACATATTTCCAGCAATAGGCCTTTGTATTCACAGACGAGTCCAGATTAACACTGGAGAACTATTCAAGGCATATGCTGATCTAGAGGTAACAGCGTACCAGATAACATCAATTCAACATCATTGAGAGACACAGTTATAGAGGTAGTGGATTTATGGTTTTGGATAGGGATCTCTAACTGTGACCAAACTGATCTACATGTGTTCCTTGGAAGAACTCCGACTGGTGTGAGATATCGGGACGAGATCCCTGATCCATATGTCGACCCATATACTAATGATATTGGTAACGAGATTTCATTCTGACGGATGATAATGCACGTCCTCACTAAGCTGAGGTTCTAGAGGACTATTTTGTGGTTCCTGGTCTTGAGTGAATTGAATGAACAGCTCAATCTCCGGATCAGAATGGGATAGAACATCTTTGGGACTATCTTGAAAGACAGGTTGTTGTATTAGATCCTCCTCTAAGGTCGTTATATGAGTTGAAACATTTCTTTCTCCGTGTGTGGTCTTCATTTCCCATTTCGGCGTCCACCAACTTAATAGACATCATGCTTAGTTGTTGCCGCCAATGCATTCAAGTTGGGAGTGAACACATTTCTTATTAGGATCCTTTTTTGTAACGTTTCTAGAACATTTTACCATTTAAAAATGTGATGGGCTGTTTTCTCCAAGAATATACTTTTCCACCAAGAGTGCATTTTTTGTATTAAGACTATATAAATTTCTACAACGCATTCAATAAATAATTATTTAGTGTATATTTCAACCAAATTTGTTGCTTCTACATTCATTCATTTGCAAATTAGGTAAAAAAACCCGGCTGTACCTGAACTTTTGGAGGCCAGCGTACATCGATTTATTTAAAATAATGTTGCTGAAACTTTTTCAACTTCTTTCTTAGCTCTTTCTTAAAACGTTCCTCTTTTTTTTTCTTTGACTTATTTACTCATTTTTTCTTTTTTTTTTTAGTTTTTCATTATATAGTATGTATAAAATACATCGAGTACTAGAAAATTCCGAAAGTAGGTTTTGTCATTTTTAACTGGAAAACTTTATTGTCCCCCCCCTCCAAATACAGCATTACGTCATGAACTACACATATTGCCCTATTATTCGGCACAGTCTCTACCAACATTTAAATATTTGTTGCAGAGTGAAATCATTTCAAAGAAACCTCTATTGTAAGACCCGATGCCTGCAATGCAAGGAATAATTGCCTCTCAGTCTTGTTTTGGAAGTTACGTCCTGAAAGGGCGACTTTCTTCAAGGAACAAGGCGCAAATGAACTGGTGAAAGTACTATTGGGTAATATTGTTTTCATTCATGGATGTAAAAGGAATGCTCAGTTCGACTTTCACCTTCCCCAGTTTGTCTTCCTTCTCTGAACATTCAACACCAGCGACAAGCCGCATGACAAGGCAGGATCTGTAAGTGTCCATGGATGAAGCTCCCTTGTCCATTCATACCGGATAACAGCGTGCACTTTGAGTGTCAACCACGTTGTTAGTACAAGTCTGTCTGCCATCGGGATTTGTTCTCGAATTGCCTTGGCAGCAAGTAGCAGCCAATCTGCTACTACTCTTTCTTCTAAGACGCTCTGCGCATGCGTCATCACCACTACGCTGATGCTCTTTTCGTCGTAGAACCAGCAACGGGTACTTGTGGCGATTATTTTTTATTTGTCTGGTCTACCATCTTCTCTTTAAAATAAAATGACGAAAACTGCTTTCGGAACGTCCTTCGTAGATCCAAAAATTTTATGGATAAAACTTACCCACATAATTAATTTAGGCTTTATTTTCTGTTTATTATTATTTTTTGAATGGTTTATACAAATACTATTTAAATTGCTTAAGTTTCTGTGAGCTTGTATGATAATAATATTCACTTTATTTTAGCTGGAGCAAAGTAGTACAGTGCATTTTGAGTTACAAGAATATGGTAAGATACCTTGATGTATTTCACTTTATATTATACATTACTTAAAAAATGAAGTAAAATATAAATTTTTCCACAATTTATAAACATGAGTAATTGTTCGAGATTTTGAAAGAACACAAATAGCATTATTCCTCAGCACTTTACAGGTTTAATTCAAGAGAAAATGACATTTCAAAAAACATAATGTTATTAAAATGTATATTCAAAACATATGAATTTTAATCAAACCATTTGAGCTCTTTGGAACTTTTCAGCGTCCTTATTTTTACAATAAGAAGAAAATCGGGAAATCTTTTATTTTAGAACAGTATCTCAACAACAGAATTTCCAAGAAAATTTTAATCACGAGAAATGCAAGTGCTTGTATTATAGTGAAACGTATATTTTCTTAGAGGAATATAAGGTGTATTTTGCGACAATGAAACTAATTGTTTTGCAAGATAATTAGTAGGGTTATTTAATAAAAGCAAATGTGTGAAGCATTTTTATTCAGTTTTAAATTTGAGAGCGAGAAATTAAAATCATGGATAAAAAGCTGTTCATTTTTATAGAAAAATTCTTTTGAAAATAAATGATAATAGATTATGAGATATAGTTCACATTCCAAATCTCCTTCTGTTTTATAAATGTTCATAAAAACTGAATGAATTATTTTAACGCCAGTTTTCATATGAACTAGATTAATACTTTTTGGACATACAAAATAAAAACCACTTTTTCACACTTTAAATACGGGAGTCAATCTACAAA